AGATTCACATTTAGGCAATCTGGTTTCCAGTCCTCATGATGTTATGGAGGGAGGAACTGCCTAGGAAAAAGTAGTCCTCCACAAACAATGAGTTTTTCTTTTTCAGGATCCCTGATAAGCTGTAATCATAGATATACCATCCTGTTATAGCTGCAGACAAGATTAATTACAAGAATAGGGCTGGCCAGGTAGCTCAACAGATTAAAAGTGCCTGCTTAGGCAAGTGCTAGGGGAATGGGGTTCGATCCCCATGCTGTGCTGGCCAAGCCCCAGGGCATGCTAGGATGATGAATGAGTCTGGGTGCTGTGACATGCGTGTACATGTAATCCCAGTGCTTGGGAAGCTGAAAAGAGGAGGATCACTATGAGTCCGATCTGTGTAGTGAGACCCTGGAGACCTTGTACTAAATACAATAAAAAAACCCCCAAAACACAAGAATAGAGCACCTGCCAAGCATTGTGGTACGCACTTGTATTCCTAGCATTTGGGAGGCTGAGGCAGGAGGATTGCCATAAGCTTAAGACCAGCCTGGGCTACATGGTGAATTCAAATCCAGTTTAAACTACAAAGTGAGACCCTGTCTTTAAAAAAAAAAAAAAAAGAATAGAGCACTGTGAACTATCTTCTAGCCTTTAAGCATTTTTATTTTAATGGTAGGAAAGTTTATTTGAGGAAGTAAAAATGAAGGGTGAGAAAATAGCTCTGTAGAGCAAGCTTGAGTCAGTAAAAGAGAAAAAAGCAAGATAAAAGTACACCCTGGGCCAGGGAGACGGCTCAGTGGAATAAGCGCTTCCCTGGCAAGCACAAGGGCCTGAGTTCAATCCCTGGTTCCGCCAAAAAAAAAAAAAAAAAAAAAAAGTACACCCTGGAAGACAGGTTAGGCTATTGTGAGGAAGGTACAATTGCTAGGTGTTTTTCAAAGTAGCTTTTAGTAACTTAGTTTTTCTCTTTGCAGTGTTTCACTCGAGGATTTGAGTACAAGAAACATCAAAGCGATCATACATATGAAATAATGGTAATGACGAAGTTGCTGGGAACTTCCATGTTTTTCAAGTACTGAATGGGAATTAGTGTTCTTTATTTTGGAATTAGTATTTATCTCAAGTGTCTCTTTTCTGAATTTGTTAATCATTATACAGTAAATTTTCAAATTTCTGTGAACTTACTAAGTTATTTTAAGTATAAAATGTTTTGTTGTTATTGTGGTCTGGCTATTCAACTATTTAAAAAACAGTGTTATATCAGATTTTTATTTCCAATTCATAAGGTATTTAAAGGAAGTACTTTTCAAGGTTCTCTGATGCAAGGAAGAGAGGTGTCCTGGTTTTTTAGGTTTATTGATAAACATATATGACCAACAGTTGTCACTGCATCCTAAAGTGTTCTCCACTCCTACGTCCAGTATACGAGCTTGAACTCTGGGTCTTCATAC